GTAGTTGGAGCGTATTTACAGACAGTTGCTCGAGGTTTGGGGGCAGGCCTCTTAGATCTCCCTGACACTCTAATCAAAGCATTAAACTTGTTTCATATTACTGCTGACATTTATATCAATAGAACTAGTTCTTTTTTGGCCTGCCGCTTTGTTGGGCAACTGCTGTTTCTAGTATGCCAGACCTTATCTGGACTTAACGTTGGCAACGGCTCGATAGCGACCGTGGTAAAAATGTCCCTTATAATTTAGACCTCTTTGTAAATAATAGCAAATCGGCTTCCATATTACTTTGTCTAAATGGGTTCAACAGCGCTTCCTCTCATTAACTAACCCTTAATTAACCGCTTAATTAAGGCTAACGTACACTGCGGCGGAATCTCCAGCTTAAAATGCTACGAACATATTAGCAGACCACATGAGAAAGATAGGGGTTTTGCAGTTCATAACTTCTTTGTTTCTATGTTATTTGTTTTAATACCATTGTATAAAAGGATATAATTTCTGTAACGGTCTCCAATATAGAGTTATAGAATCCAATGTGAGTGAGATCATATTCGAGAATTCACTGAAGGAAGCCACATGCCGTACGCTTTTATTGTTAGGGCTGAATGGTGAACTAATTGAGTGAAAAAAATCGTAATAAATCTATTTAATATATAAATTACGAGTATTTACGTAGGAAGTTTTTTTTTAAGAAAGACAGTACTTTTCATAAAAAGTTTTTTTTTTTTTTTTTTTTTTTTTTTTTTCAAAAAAAAAATCTTTTTTTAATCAAATCTCAGATGATGCTGCGTCACCGTGTTGTATATAATAATGATTGTAGCAGTAAAATTCAGACTAAAGTTATAATAATCTCCCAAACTTTTGCACTAAACTCAGACCAGATGGAATAACTGACAAGATGACATAAAATAAAGTAAAGTTCTCTTTGTTTTCTGAGTTGATCTGATGTTGCGACAATTTCCAGTCCAATCGACCAGGACCACTATTTCGCACTGCGTATCTGCGTGTAACAAACAAGCTCATAGTTAACCGTTCTTCCTTTGCGGTGCTAACATCTGGAGGGAGTTTGAAATAATTCTCTTGCTTCCAATGGAGCTGTCGAAGATTTCCCGTTCACCGTATGCAAAAAAATATCGGCTTTTTGTATCCAGTTAGGACGGCCCTACATAAACCTGAATATCTGCCAATGTTTCTGCTATTGTAATTTTGTATCGAAACATGTTCGCTGCTCTTCAAAGATGTCTGCAATCAGCCCCATCGACAAATGTGCAAGTTACTTGAATAAACGTCAGCATCAATGAAAAGATAGGTACCTTGTAAATTTTCTCCAACAACGTAGCGTTTTTCTTAGACCTCCATTACTATATATGCGTTACAGCTCGTGTTGGACATGGCAACGGCATTATCGTTTATTGTGTGCACGTATGTGGCACACGTTTGTAACGGCGGTGCGTTGGCTAACGTGGTGATGACTGGGTCGCTACCCTGAGCTGAATGGATTTGATAAAGACAACATGAGCACAATTATATGTTTCTGTATTTTTAATGGAACCGCTTAGCCAAGCGGTGATAAACTCATTAAACTCTGTCATCTATCATTGAGAAGCTGTCAGAGTTTTCCCGACACAAACAAAACCTTCTTTCGTACTGTAATTTTATTTAATAATGTATTGAACCTCTCTATTTGAAACAAGGTTATCAAGACTATTCGTTCTCAACTGGGCTGAGTTCGGCCTGAGCAGATGACAACTGACAGAGCAGCAACGCAGAATGAGGACGTTGGAGATTATTGATAGTTAACAGGAAATATATGTATGACAATGAGACCATAATAACACCTATTCGCTGAACGTATTTCGTGTTCTTTAATTTCAGCATTCGGCACAAAATGCTAAGACAGAGTTTGTGCTTTGTACCTTATATAAGTGTTGCTATGCTTCTCATTGGAGTTAGAAGAACGCCATAGTTCATCTTTTTATATTTTTGCTGTAAATAGATATGCAAGCTGGTCCTCGAAATTCGAAGGCAATTTTTAATGTCGTTGTAGGTCTTCACGTCGTAATCGTACTCGGTTCGTCTCTCTGAGCACCCTCGATATATGTTCGACATTTGGATACATGTATGGCGGGAATCGCTACGATCCTGGGAAGGATCGCTTGAATGACGCTAAAGTGTGTAGTCGTGATTTGAATTTAGGACATCTGCAAATTTTGTGAAACGGATAGCCTAGGTAAGGTAGCATTGTATTTCGAATATCACATAGGGTGGGTAGATTCTAGTAAAACCAATGCAGTGCACTCCTCTTAGATCTAGCGTAAGGTTTACAGGGGACATTATGATAGAAAATAAAGAGGGGCGTTAGGCAATGTACGCTACTGAAACAGGTGTGTAAATCCTATTGCCTCTTGCTATTCAGATAACACTGTTCATTTACCGCGTTGCGATGCTGCTTTCTTCGTATCATATTTTCTTAGGAGAAGTGATCTTTTTTAGCTTCTAGTCCATCTATAACTGCGAATTTGCCAGTAAGATAGCCATCATTAAGCACCGATGACGATGACAATAGCAGTCTGCTCCTGCTGCGGCCGTTTCTGCCTTAGGTCTATTCTCATTTTGGTTGCCTTCGTCCGTATTGGTTTTTCATCTTCCTTCTTTTTCTATTTAGACTTTTTACCTATTAGCTAAAGCAGAATCGTTCTCTATAGAGCAGCATCGTATAGCTAGTTATTGCCAGTCCGGCTTTCTTTTGAGCGCAGTCATTCATTTTGCCATAGAACACAGCCAAGAGGTACTTCTACGTATCGACACGTTGCTGGTTCTCATGCCATTGCGGTTAGACGGCTGTCGAAGGACTGCGAATAACGGCAAACAATCCACGGACGTCGGCCAGACGGATGGACGGACATGCAGAGCGATGAAATCGTTCACCTGCTCGCGCAGTGCGTCCTTTGCCACGGGCCAGACGCGGTGGCGTTTGTCTGTTGCCAATGTGTCTGTCGGACCGTAGATGTGTGTGTGATTTTCTCTATTAAGTGTGTGTATTTTTGTGTTTGCTAAGTGTGTGCATGCATGTCATGCCTTCAGTTTGTGGTAAGCCAACGAATACGTAGTTTCCCAGCGGCTTAAGTGAGTCGCTCGGTCGTTGTCATCGTCGTGGTTTACCAGAGCGATCGCTGATTGACGCGTTTTGGCATTTTTGTGCTGCTATAATATGCACCATATACTTATTATTCGGTGCCTGGAGCTGCTGCCGCCGCCGTTTGTGACTCCATTTTTGTTGGTTCATTCATTCCGGTCTTCTTCATACTTTTCTTCCTCAACTTGTCCTTATTCTATTTCGCCTTATAATTTTTATCATCAGCAACAGCAGCAGCAGCGTTGTCGGTTACGGTAATCCAGGAAGTGAACTTGGCCGTACCGTCGGTTCGCTAGCCAGGGCTCTGTGCCGAGACAAGCCCTCCGACGTTCAGTTAGCAGAGTACAACTGACTTTCCCTTCGTTATTACTTGCCTATCCGACGTCCACTGTGTAGCCGTGTTTTTTTTGTTACTGACTTGACGATGCTCGTTATTGTTCTCCCTTCCAGTCAGTGTTGGCTGTTGATGCGTCACCGTAGCCTAAACTACCGTTGCCAATCAACTTGATAATACGCATTGTTCACGTCGCAATGACGCACTGCCAGGTAACGACTGTGGTAACAGCTGTAGCCAAAACAATAACGAGTTTCGTCAACGTAACGTCAGAGCAAAGCATCATCAACCGCAAGGGTGATATCAACAATCGCAATAACATCAACGTTAGCCACAATCTAACTTGTACTAACTAATAAACGGTCCGGTTGTTCAGGTCCTTTTTTTTTTCGACAAATACATATTATATTATCTAATATAAACAGTATATTATCAGATCAGGTAGTTGCCAAGCTGAATATATTCGGTCGAAGTACGTCAGCGTTCGCAAAAGATCAGATTCTGACTCTGGCGTTATAAGTGCGCTCGCAATACTTCAGCAGCGCCTATTGTATACTTGGCCGATATTAAACACTTCCCCGACTAGGCGGCTTTTCGGCTAGGCGGAATATGATGTTGGTTCTAAAAGCGTCAGAGACAAAAAGTTTTCTATCACCTAACTAGTTTTTCTCTGAGGAGACGCTTTAAACTACGATTTGCAACAATCGCCGCCGTTCGTTCGATACCGCAATGGCAAGGTCTGTAGGCTTTTAAAACAATGGATGACGACAGTTTTACCTGGATAGAGCGAAATTCGTGCTATAAACAGGGAAAATGTTCTCCTGTTCAAGGCTCGGCGCAATTTTCCAGGGCGCTATAGCCTCGTTCAAATGTTGCCGTATACCAGAATCACTTCGAACCGCCCTTGTCTCACCAGAACTTTATATTAGCTACTTTTTTTTTACTCAGATTGACAAGCTGAGTCGAGTAGGAGTCTGTATCCATTATTTTACTGAATATGAACGTTTTTAACAAGCTTGCCAAATCTTAGCAAACCCTGTGGGCTAATTCGTGTAGTAGACTAGACGAAATCCCTCTTTTTTTTATTCTTTAATAGAAATTATTTTTCCCACTCTACGTACGGTCAAATAGCTGGCAGTGGCACCCATACTGAATCCGACTAGAACGAGTTTTATTGACTGCAGTGATTTCTAATGATTCCAGATAATGGCGTGACTGACTTATTTCTCTGCACAAACCGTAATTGACTAGATTACACATCTCTAATCAACTGAAATTTCGCGCGACAGAAGGATTTATAGGTCATCGTTATCTGTTTTTTGAGGTTGTTAAGAGCGCAATTGAGGGTCCAAACAGATAATAGTGTAAAAAGCCCCAAACTTGAAAGCTAAATCACTGTAGAAGCACAAGTACGTGGAAATTAAGTAACTAAAATAGCGTTCTAACTAGCATAATATAAATAATTCACCACTGGCAAGTTTGATGTCGATAGGTGATATGATTTCTAAGAAAAGATGAAATATCAGATACAAACATCAAACATTTTATTTTACTATGTTATGTATTGATTATTAAATAAGTGCAAAATGCAAAGTTTGTAAAGTTAGTATCTATACTATGTACTGTTCATAAACCAATTCATCTAGCAAACTAGTTGTTACGAAATATTACCATCCCCAGTTCGGGCTTTTCTTTTAAGTATTATTTCCTTTGAGGCCTCTTTAAGATCGTACGCTTGTCCAATCGCAGCCATTGCGTTAATACACACGGTAGACATATTCAATGGCGAGAACTGCAATTCGGCCGCTTTATAGTCGAAGGGAAACACATGATGAAAGTTGTGGAAGCCTTCGCCGTTGGTCAAAAATGAGGTAAATTTGTGCTCCGATGGACGGATCGTCTGGTCGTAGGGCCGGCTGCCAAGCCAATGTGCTAAGCTATTTACGCACCACGTGCCGTGAAGTAAGAGCAAATAGCGGATGAGAGTGGCAAATATGGCGCAAACCGGCCGTAGGCCTAAGTAGAGATAAACCAAGAAAGGTAACACGCCGGCTCCTACGAACACCAACGGGACAAACCATCGATACTGGAAGCGGACGACGGAATCCGCCCATAAATCGGAGCAATCGAGACTGCGGCCCAGTCGTTTTATTTCGGAGTGTTTTTTCATCATTAGCCACCCCATGTGGGCGAAAAACATCCCCCGGGTCGTCGTGTGGGGATCGGCATCAGTTTCCGTATATTTGTGGTGCATTCTGAAATGATCACAAGATAGCTACTGTAGTAAACTTTAGCAATTTTCAGGTTTCTCTGAAGAAGCTATAACATCGTTATTAATCATAGGTGATAATGGCAGACTATTGCTTTGCTTCGAACACGGTTTTGTTGACACTAAGCCCTGTACCATATTTTCAGTACTCTACAATCATGTTTACCGGTCATCAAATAGTAAGGAACCAAACAAAGTAGTACTATTTGTTGAACTTGTACAAATACATTAATAGATACGAACTATCGTTCTGAAAATATGATTTGAATCTTCAGACATGCAAAGGTCGACTTCGGCCTTTGAAAATCCTCCACGGCGGTACATACATGTTAAAGGAAACAAACACAGCAATTGCCTATACAGCCAGCCAATCGCTTTGTTTGCAGAAATAGAACAACAGCGACATTGTAAGGGTTCTGAGTTACTTCGTACATTAATGTCGCTCAAACGTGCCGAATTTCAACAATTGTTAACACAAGTACACGAAAAGTGAACGAAGTTAAGTCCGCTTTATCTAAAATGGAAAAAAAAAATAGGAAAAACGTTTCGATATGAACAACTAATAACAGAATGAATTAGTGTTTTGTACGTTTTAACTACTAGTGGGTCCGAAGTGCGGTTTTAGGTCGGGATTGGAAGTTATTGTCGTTGTAGTTTCTGCGGTTATAGCATGTATGAAATAAATTCAGTATTTTTTGCACGGAAAATCCTGAAGTTGTCTATATTTTCTGTCTTTTTAGCCAAAGGTGCTTATCCTGCGAACTTTCAAAAGCCTCAATAGGCTCTGAGACATATATATATATATATATATATGCAAAAGTGGGTCCAATATTGGAGGATAGTACTAGATACTTCAAAATCCAAGGACATTTGCAACGGGACTCCTTTAAAGGTCGCAATGAAATTTGCTCCTACTACAACAATCCGGTAAAGCAGGTACAGGATGATAACGGACTGGGTCGGGCAATGGTCTAGCTAATGATGTTCACGATAGCTTGTGTTAGGCTGAATGTAATGTCAGCGAATTAAATCAGCTAAGCTAATAGATATACGGATATAAAAAACTGAAGGTCGTTATATTTACGAGGTAGTCCATCAGATTGTCGGAGGCATTAAGAGGATTCAGAAATGACGTAAGGTTTAAAATCGACTTCAGTTCCTTTGCACGACATTACTTCATGTGTACACAATAGATCAACTCATTTAAAACAATTTCAGTTCCATATCTGACCTGTGATCCCGACACCAAGTGTAGATGCTATTCTGCCCAGCCGTTGTTTGAAGTAGCATGAGAAAGATTCGGAAGGGCATCCGAGCCTTGTAGCATCGATGGGCCCATAGCCGATGAGCACCGACCGTTACCCCAAGTCCAGACAACTGCGCCCCAAAATATATTCCTAATAACCCTTTGACGCCTGCAAATGAAACCATGAAACATCAAAACATTTTCGTTCCTTATAATGCACTAGAAAGGCTTCTAACGACCCTATTTTACACTGATCTATTGGTAAGTGGCGTTTGCTGCCGTTAGCTTGTTTTTTTCTTTTGTCACTATATGTTTTGGGTCTCAGACCGCTTCGAACTTGTGTCCTACGCCAATCTATACAAACATGACATCGAGTCTATAAACATGTTAATATAAAAGAACATTTCCCTTTACGAACGGATCGTATGTGTCCAAGCTTGAAACCTGTGTGGATGTTCTACGAATTTAGAACCCCAATTTCTGGCAGCTTTCGGGTTTGTTTTTCGTAAGCTATCCCAAAATAAAAATCAATATATGAATATACGACGTTCGCTCGTATGAAAAATATCCGCCTACAGAGAATGCCGAGATATGTATGACTTGTTGATGAAATTATTATATTTTGAAAGAAAATCACATTATACTACGAGATAATCGCATATATTCTCTGGCTGGCAGGAAGTCGTGGACGATTGACAGGTATTCTGTTCCAAAGGGTGACCGGCTGCAGTAATACTGCCGAACTATTAAAAAAGTTAGACACTTCTGACGAGCAGCGTAACTAACGGCATCCATAGGTCGCTGCCAGACACGTCGTTTGTGTGAAATGCACCTGGCTGCTTCTGGTCTAAATCACTTCCTACAATTGAAAGTAACAGCAGACGACGCGGACGGATGACAAGATGAAAAAGTAACGAATAATTGATTTATATGATACTGGTACTGATAAAAATACAGATGGCAACAATGTGCGTTGATGCTGTATCGGTTTGACAAACGGAAACGATAGTTCATTAGCCAGGAGCGTGCACGACAACAGGCCACCTGCTCCTACTGGCCTGGACAATGGACGGAGAAATGATTAGAAGCATTGTCTAAGCCAAAGGCCGATAGAAGTCTGTAAAATCGTCGTAATGGTGACGACTAGCTAAGAAAATACGCTTGTTATTTAGCTTGGCGTATTTTTTAGATGACGCAGAAGTTTGCGTACTACCGATTGAGCTGTCGGGACGACGAACGCACGAGTAAACCAACGCAAATAACTATTTGACCAGATAAATTTGCCACGACGCGCTATTTTCTGCTACGATCGATTCTTGGTTGTAACGAAAAGCCCTTATTCTACGCTAAAGCTTTTACGCTACCACAATCGTAAGTTCGCTGAAACTCTGTCGAAGTTTCATTTCAACTTCCTGCAATTTAACTGCTTTAACACATATAACAGTGAATAATACACCGTTGCCTGCTGCTGCGGTATGCATCAGACGTTCTAACTAAATGGCAGACAACTGTGAAATAATTACTCCTAGAAAAGCCGAAATTATATTACTCCGAAGAGAAGCGCACATTTTGTAATTGGAAGTATCTAGCAATACTTAGCTACCCGCTGGAGGCGGGTGCCGTCAACGAACTAATATATATATATATAAATGAATTTAATTAGGCAACAATTCTCGCTAAAATACTTATGTGTTCATCACCTCAATAGAAAAATGCATTCTAGAAATATTCTAAAAAAAAATATATATATATATATATTATATTTTTTAGGTTCGCTTTATTGACTTGTACCTATCAGATGGCGCTATCGTGAGCTGTCCTTCAGTATATCGGCCCCATGATCTACTGCAGTCGATTCATTGGAAGTTTTGTTCATATGCCCTTCCCGTCAGAGTGACGAAGGGTGTACACTTGAAAAGTAGGTTAAATTGGAACGGGCTTATTTTTTGACATTGTCTAATATCGGTAGAACGAAAGGTCGTATACGATTAGAATACTTTGTTGACCCTTCGATGCAAAATATCGATCGTCTTAAACATTCGAATGCTTTGGGGTCTTCGTGCTTGAAAATGTCATAGATTCATAACAGAAAAATGTATATGCACAAGATTGGCAAGTTCTTGCTTGTTTTCCGGCCTATAGCTCGAATGTGTCTGCAACATATAGACCCAATCCAAAGCAGGCCCTCTAATAACCCCTTAATTTGAAGACGAGAAACTACCCGCAGCTCCGTTTTTAGGTGCTGCGGCGTCTCTTCAAGAACCAATCTTCGCAAGCTATCTCGCGTACACTTTACTGAAGACAAACCGTAGACTTTTTTAGCCATCCAAGTTTATCCCAGTCCATACGCTGTTTACATTTGTTTATTAAAATCAATTAGTTATCATATGGTATATATGGCAGTGCTAATGCGCACAGCAAGACCTAATAGTGTTCCTGGCTCATATGAACACTATATAAATGACAACGAACGAAACAGAGCAAAATTCAGTACTTTCAATGTTGACACACACAATCCTGGCCGGCATACAGCATGTAAAAGATACCTATTAATTGAGAAATTAATGAAATTTTTGACAAAATATGGGGTCCTTCTATTCACTAACTATTTTAACGAGCAGTGAATAATCTAGAATTATTCCGATATATATTCCGTATATAGGTGCCATAGGTACAGTCGTCAATGCAGGAGGATAACATACCAAGTTCCCGTCCGTAAGCCACTAAACCATAAACGGAAAGCACGTGAAGCGTTATAAAAGCCACTACGTTTTGCCACACAACGTCAGTCTTGAAATATGTTGAGCTGATATCATCTTTTGAGTACTTGACTAAGTCAATATCACTATCCAATCCATCAGTAATCATCGGTTCATCAGTCTTTGGCCCATAGGTGCTTTTGGGTTTTTTGTGGGCGACCTGAAGCCCAGAGGATGCGATAGTTGATACCATTACCAACGGAGCGCACTGTCATTTGCACACGTCTCACTGGCCGAATCGCGCGAAGTGCGCTGAGATCTCAGGCGAAACAGAACTTGCTATTTGGGTAGATGGCTTATGATGTGCTCTTGATTATTGTCCCTCTCTAGATCGCTGGAACGGGCACATGCTTAATAGCCCTGGCAGATGAAAGGCTTTTGGCGTAAGTTCCGGAAACCGTAGACAAAATTCTATGGGAGACACTTCCGTTGTGTTCTTTCAAATATAGTCCCATTTGTCCTTACTCAACTCGGCTGTATTTTTAAAGAATGATTTAACCCTCGTATCGTACACTGCTAAGACCTAGAGACATCTATGTAGGTATATTTTTACTAAAAAAATTAGTTGATAACTAGATTCACCCTATAATTCAGGGCACAGAGCGCCGCAATACAAGGTAGCGGAAATTGACTTGAACACAAATTGTATAAAGGTAGTAAATAATGCCAATTTTGAGACTGAATTTTTGGGCAGTCAGTTTTATCATAACTCTTGTGCCGGTCGCTGACTCTTTCGCAGGCGGAAATTAGCCTCGACTGAGGCATCAGGAAAATAGCATTTACGGCAAACTTCCCTAAAGTTATGATGTAAATTTGCGGCCATGTGATATTGCAGGATTTGCAAAGGAGTCTGCGTGCTGAAATATATACTCATGCGAGATGCGCGTCCGAACGGCCGATTAGACTAACACTAACATCGTGAGGTGACGAAGGAGCCTGTGATGCTTTTAAATCCCTTACCTAAATCGCACGTGGATAATTTAAGGTAACAGGTATTAGAAATGCAAACAGAATGATTAAGAGACAGAAAACGCACTGTTGGCCAAGCTTATTTCTTCATTCGTTAAAGTCGAGTAGCTAGGACCTCATTCAAAATTGGCTAGGACCGTAATAAGGCCTTAAACCTGAAACTCAAAGCAGACTCAGAAAGTGAGGTTCTATAAAGGGATCGTTTTTTTAAACTCATATGAGTGTTTCCGTGAAGTCCTGAGTCCGTACTTTTGCAAAAGATAAATATGCAATAAGCTAACAACAGTCTACAACTTACCTCGCAAGAAGAGTTTTGTGTATCTCCTTTAAATCTAAATGTTTCGGGACTCTCTCTCTACATGGAATCATTATACTCTGCGTATATTTGTCGTACCATAAATCGTAGCTGCAATTTCTTCAGAACTCTTAGGCTGTAGATTTGATCTGTACATTTCTTGGCTGATAAATAATGTTTCCCACATATAAAATGCGGGCGAACTTGATATGTGATCTGGTGTAAAAAAACAACATTTTCAGAAAAAACGTGCTCTTCGACCCATTGTCGGAAATGGTATTGAAGCAGTCCCCATCCACGGCAGGTCCATTTTTTTTACCATTTCAATATAATAAGCATAGCTTTTGCTCACCGCGTAATCCAGCTAGACAGCTAATGTACGCACATAAACAGTCATATGGAAATGTTTGATTTTTAATATCCGGCACTCACCTAGAAGCAATCCTTTTAGAAGGATTGCCCCTTCCTTGCGTTAGAAAGCAAGGAACCCTCAGAGCAGAGTGTAGAGGAAGCACACTCTTTACCTCGTGCTTAATTCTGCGAGATGAAACATCATGCATTGCAGTGCGGTAACCCCCCACTATCGAAGAAGTAGAACCCAGCAATTCGAGAATAGCATCGAAATACAGATATCGCATCGTGAGGCAATCGCTGCGGTCATTTATGCTAAATCCTATTGAAGATCAGTCATCCCAGCTTGAACAGGGACGCTTTACATGTGCATGACGCAGTGCTAGAAGCCGTTCGCTGGCTGTGAAAAACAGAAGTATTCCTTAAATCCAAGATTTTGTAACAGGTTTACCGAAAGCAAAAATTATAAGAGTTACGCTATACATACGTTACCCAAAACAAAAGCCCAACGAACTAGTAAATGGATTGTTGGGGTTTAGGAACATTTTATATCGCCTTGTACGTCCTTAAATGCCATAGAAGCTCGAGTTAGCAAGAAGGCTTAAAATAGTAAGAATCGTTTATGGCCATTACTTCTGCTATTTGTACACAGCTCATATGTACCTTACTACACGCCTCACCAACTATAATTAGGTCATTACGTATTATCCTTACTTTTTTGCGCTTGTTCTGTTTATTTATTTGCTTGTTTTGTTTGCTTAATACTTCAGTGTTCAGACAGATCGATTTACTATGGACTATCTTGTGAGTTCCGAAATATTTGCTAGTATCTTGATTGATTGATTGATTGATTTTGATTCGGTAAGCCAGACTGGAACGTGTAGTAATTTAATATGTCTTATGTGGCGTATGGTGTTGCATTGCAACAAGCCCTGGAAAATACTGATCGTCGATATCGAGAAGGAAGTGAAGCTGTTACATAGCTATAAGTCAAATGAAAATAGTAATACGACATTTCAAAAAAGTTGTGAACAGAGATAGATCAATAGCAGTTTTCCTTATGATCGCCCTACAGCCGATCACTGGTCGCCTAATTTAGATGGTGGACCATAAACTTTATGCTATACTTATCTGCCAGCAGAAACGATAAGTTCGCTGCGTGCTGAAGTTTAGCTAGCTTAGATACGTTGCATGAACTTCAAGCCCATTTTTAATTTTTGTTGCTATTCCGAGATTGCATTTATTGTATTTAATAAAAGTTTCTTTTGGATCAATTATGTGTTAAGGTAATTGGTCATCAATGATACTGATTTGATCAGATCTACAGAGCTTGATGTGGAGTACATTTCTTTTAGATTTGAGAGATCCGATATAAGAACAAGAAGTTTTCCATTATTAGATACATATATGCCTTATAAAATCGGTGTTCGATCATCTTCATCGGCTAATGTCATTCGTTCGTGAAAAACCCTTTTTTGGCCTTAAAGGTAGATGCGGTACCTGGGCGATTATATCAATTAGTATTATATGGCTATCAAGCTTTTCTTTTGGCCAATGTTCAGAAATTTGTTGCGCGAAGTATATATTTTTTTGAAGAAGTTTAAGCCTCTCTAGCTAATCAATGAGTAACATTCGTCAGCAAGAAAAAATTTAGCTGGCCATTTAATAATTACTTTAATATTCTTAATACCACAGATGTATCCATCTTATTAGGTAAGAATCACAATTATATTTATAATAAATCATTTTTATAAGAACAGAGGTTTTGGCCCACTAGAAGGATTGCTGGCTCTTGAGGTATAAGTCAACGACATGAAAACATACCGACTATTAAGGCCACGGATCTGAAAGGACGTACTAAACATTAGTTGTACATAATATAGAGTTTGCATTTCTAGCAGCGTAAACTTTTGATCACAGGAATTTTCCTCAGGCTCAATCTGACCCTTTGAAACGCTCTACGAAAGCCCCGCGTGTTTTAATTGGAGATTTGGCAAAAGTAGAACGTAAAGTTTTTTAACCACATTAAATTTGCCCCTTATACTAATCGAGGAAAACCGTCACGTTTTACCAGCCATGCAGAGAAATTTTAAAAATTTTCAGTAGTCTCGAGTCGAGATCTAATTCCATCCCGACCAAAGTGACTTTTTTTTTAATCTAAACGGAAGACACAAGTAAACATCATCTTATTATAACTATGTGAGAAAAAAAAAAACTCTATAGGGAAAGCCGGTTACTTTTTGCTTTAATGGTTTTTCAGTAGGCGATATTCTAACGTTATCCGACCTACTGAAAAGCGCCGCATACGTGTTGTACGGTATAAGTGTTGGTGGAATTAAAAAAGATAGGATGGCCACCTTCTGCTAACCTTAAAGACCCACATTATGGTCTAGGTTCCCGGACATAGAGCCAGTTGTCTGACGCAATGATTAACACCGGCGACACTGGATATAGAGCTCAAAATATAGAGGATAACCACCTTAGAGTGGCATCGCATTCTTAATTATAATTTTCCGATCGAGCCACCGAACTAGTTTTTTTCCAAGGGCAGATCAAATAGCTGAAGGTCATTATTCAAAAGTCAAAACGTAGACCAGTCTCCTAGCCATTCTACGAGTGAAAATAATTATGTGGATGGGTTCTAGTAATAAGGTGTGTGCCTAAAACATAACAAAATTCTGGGCGCATGCAACCTATCGAACATAAACCTTTTGACATCCGCAAGACGACTGTCTCTGAATTTAGAGAGATCCCAGCGTCGACCTTCTTTTGCACTACATGACACGGTTTAAGTTTGCCTATTCTCATCCGCTGCTTGAATCGACGCTAATGAGCTTGGCCTGGCCGCTGTGATCCTTAATAGATTAGACCATCGGATTAACGGGGTCGCTGGACTCATTTGGCTACCCCTTAACTCAGCCCAACAGCCGTACTAACATTTGGCTTGATTAAGGAAACAAGCATGGGCAATACGACATTATATGTCTAAAGGATAAATAATAAATAAGTAAATACAGCGATGTTGGCGTTAGAAATAAATTCAGATTAGTGATATGTCTTCTCTAAACATCTTCAAAGTAAATCAACATTAAGTTAGTTACGTTATTTATGGCACACATAGCCACGTTCAAAGTCAACTTCTTCAGTTATGCTTATTGCTTTCTGCTATCAAGATTGAACACCGAAATGTGTGTTCAGTATAATTATGTCTTGTTAACAAGGGTCCGATCATGTGGTGTCTACATAGCGTTCTCAACTAGCCAACTCAATAAATAACTACATCTTCATACTGATTTAAAAATACTATATATTTTCTTTTATTCGAGCAAAACACCGTAGCATGTACTTTCAAGGTAGCCGTTATCGGAATTTACTGTTGTTCTCCTTTGTTGTAACCCAGATTTCTACGTTGGTCCACGCGAATGTCTGACATTATCCTAAAAACTCGGAAGTTCCTTAAAAGTTTTTGAGCCATCCTCAGCTTACAACAGGAACTCGTTGGTAAAATGCTTACTTTGTCATACAGACGTGATGCTTCGGTAGAAAATCAAAGTGAGTTAAATAACAACAACAAATAATTAATAAAAAAGGATATAGAGAAACGTAAAAAGAAAAAAAAAACAAGGATACGATGTTCAACTATGACACTCTTGAAACACTAATTATTCTATTTGTAACTTAATAACACGCCAGTGTATTTTTATTATTATTATTATTCAAGTAGTATAATTTATAAATCGTGCGATATGGCTCCTGTGGTA